CCTTGCTTGATAACTATCATTGATAACCATAAATGCTAACAGAATCCTGGGAAATTTCTGGGGATTTTTCATTGTGCATGGTGGGAAAATTTGGGAATTTCCACACATTCGAGTGGGAAATTTTATTCTAAAGGGTTGGCAACTTGTTGGCAACACTGCGTGGAAATCTGGTAATGCCCGGCATCGTACACTTGGCCAAACATAAAACTGGTGCAGGCAATAAATAGGTTTGTTCCATTGAGGTAGAATAATAAGGAGGCGACATAAGGAGAAATAAATTTAGAAAAAAAAAACTTTTTGAAAACAAGCTTTTATAAAATGGACTAAAAAGCATAAAATAATTTTTTGAGTGTTCTGATATCATAATAATAAAAGCGATGGGCGTATTAAAGGAAATTTACCCGTTTTTGTTTTAGCCTTGTTAACTCGAAGTTTAGTGAAAATCCAAATTCATTATATTATAGCAGAGAAATGTAAGGGTAGACAATTTAAACCAACCCAACCCAACCCTACTCAAGCTAACCTTACATTTTTCTGATATGGATGGACATTATTACGCCTGCTTCATATAGGCAGATCATCCGTGACCGGCAGTGTGTCGATTTATTTTGTCACATTGAAAAAGAAGAGTCGGCCCATCATCGGTTGTGGACGATCCACCAAATGCGCATGGAAAGGTATTTACCTAATATTAAATACGCCCATCGCTTTTATTATTATATCAGAACACTCAAAAAATTATTTTATGCTTTTTAGTCCATTTTATAAAAGCTTGTTTTCAAAAAGTTTTTTTTTCCAAATTTATTTTTTAATTTTTAGATTTGTCTAAGTCTATGCATTTCAGCTAGCGCATCTATATTGCAGGGAGTCTTTCATGGCAATTTTATCTTTGATGAGAAGGCCGTCCAACGATTTGATACGACTCAAGGCGACATAAGCTTGACCAGGAGCAAAAAGCTTAGGTCCCAAGTAAATCACAGCATAGTCAACAGTATTACCCTGCATTTTATGAACAGTAGATGCCCAGCATAAGACTATAGGTAACATTCTTCGCTCGGCTGTGCCATAACTGTTTTGGCAGGAAATTGCATAGATTTCGGCTGAATCATATGAATGCCGTCATTACCAAAGTATATTTCCACTGAAGGTATATCATTGTCGTAAATCTGTGCTCGCCGAAAGCATGGCCAGAGGATTTTAGTTATGTTTCCAATAGCCCCGTTCACTTAACCTTTTTTTAAATCTATGTTGGACCGCAACATAACTTTGGCGCCTTCAAATATTTCTAATTCTTTTGGCAGACCTCCAGTTTTATTGATATCTATTGGTATAATACTATTCAAATCTACGGTATCAGATTTGCGAGTTGCATCTATCAGTGTGTCTTGTGCCACGATTTTAAATATTTGTTTTCCACTGGCTCGAAAGTGTTCAAATTCACCAGTGAAAACTTTACTTACTTTTTTTAAAAGGAGGGAAAAATATTCCGAACTAAGTTCACCAATTCTCAATGCATTAAGAACACCTATAAATTCTGAATTTCCCTGTTGTCTCATGTTCTCGGTTAACTCTACCAATGAGAAAAGACGCCATAAATGGGTTGTTGGAACCAACTTATCTGGCTGTTTGAAAACCTGGCTGCCACGTACCGGTGGTAATTGCATTAAATCACCAAAAACATAAATGTTTATTCCACCAAAAAGCAATTCACTGTTTTTCAACTGCTTGAGGCGGGAGTCAACCATGCACAATATTTCATATGGTACCATCGATATTTCATCAATAAATAAAAATTCGATATCCCGCCACTGTTGACGCATAATTCGCAAGTAGTTTCCAGTGAGAATCGGCATTTGGATTATTCTTCCATCTTTCTGGACAGGAAGTTTAAGTGTCGAGCGCAATGTTGATCCTCCCACCAAACAGGCAGCTACTCCTGTTAATGCACAGACTTTGACAGCAGGTTTACCATAACAACGGTTAATTTGATTCTTTAGCAAATTAAACAAAAATGTTTTACCTGTTCCAGCATTTCCTGTAATAAAAAGTTTCAGACGATTCACCCAACCAGTTAACTACTCTGATATATTTCGTGTTATGAATGCGAAAACTTCCTTTTGTCCAAGATTCATTGCTTTCTTTGCACTTTCAAACTGATCATCAGACATGTTCTGTTGCGGTATCTCTTCCTCCTCCTCCTCTCTATTTTCTTCCTGAGCTTCTCTTTCTAGTATATCAAAAGCATGAATCTGATTGAATGCGTTTTCTAACTGTCTATCACGTTCTCTGTAAATCTCTAGCCGAGTATTTGTCAATCTAATATGGGGCTCTCTTTCGAGAAATGCTTCCCTGGCTGTATCATAGTCAACTATCAGTTCGCTTTCATTTCGATAAGGAACGTACTGAAGGAGCAAGCTATAGTAGTAGTTTTCAGGATCAGTTGCTGCCATAAAGTAAGGAACACGTACAACAGCAGGGACATTTCTGATGATCATTTTAGTATTGTCAGTTAGTGTTATTAACCGACGTCTTGCCTGCTGTTCCGGCTCATACTCATCGACACTCTCTTCAGAATCTGGTTGTGATCTGGAATAATATGGCTCAAATAACATAGCAAACTCAAGAAGACACATATTTTCGAAGTCATAGTCTGTGTGTTGAAGAGGGCGTTTCTCATACCTGTCGAAAATATTTGCGCAATATCCTGTAGCCTGTCCAGTTTCATTAAACTTTAGTACTTTATACCTTTGCTCTGGCTTTCTTGCATTCAAGAAAACGCATTTTCTGGAACTGTCTCTAAAATTCAAATGACAAAGTCTATATACGCATTCACATGCAGACACTTGTCTCTCTTTCAAAATCCGCATGCAAACTTTGAACAGTTTGCGTGATACGTCAGTGTCCTCGCGTTGAATCTCTCGAATTGCTTCAGCGACACTGGCTTCAAGCTGGTTGGGCTCCGACTTAGACATGTATTTTGCAACATAGAAAGCTATGCATTCGCTTGAACCACAGGGTTGAATATCATGATTTTCCTGCCAAATTTTCAAAAGAGTTGCATTATAGTTAATAACCCATTTTTCTTCGGGTCGACGTTTGAGCAAACACATTCTGCCCCCATTTCGAATAAATTCTTCTGAAGAATGAGCGACTATTCTTGTCTCGTCACACGCAGCTCGTGGAAACCCAAACCTACAGGTAGAAGTATCATCTTTTTTTGTAGCAAGTATGCGAGTGTCGATGTACTTGGCATTTTTTCACTAGTTCGTACAAATCCAAATTTTCTGGTGGATTGCGCATCCTTGACCAAGTTTGCAAGTGTGAGCAAACTTGGTCAAGGATGCGCAATCCTTCTTCAGTATCGAAAGATGGATGTCCGTCAATCCATGTGAGCATATGAAGATGAGGACTTCCACGATTTTGGAATTCGATTCTCCACCAAAAGTCCTTTAGGGGACCTCCAAAAACCTCATTATCACTGCGTAAGAACCTCATCAAAGCATTTACTCTGATCATGAAATGACGACTTACGATAGCAGGATAATTCTCTATTAGTCGTTGTGCTTGTATCAAATTTAAGTCATCTGGATTGTCGTTTGGTCGTCCATCAGCCATCAGCAAAGCTTTGCGCATATCTGGCCAATTAACGTCGTTGCAACTAAACGTTAAAAAGTAAGTTGGCGGTCCCAAGCAACGAATTTGCGCTAAAAGCTCATTTAAAGCTGTTTTCCAATATGCTGACGACCCCCTCAAATTTCTGAGATACAGAAGAACATCTTCTACCTTACCATCCTGGCATTCGACCTTTTTACAACATGCAGCTATTGTGGACTTAATTCTATAGTACTCATACATTGATAGAGCGTAGAACAAGTAGGTAATCGTTTCGTTGAAATCTCGAGTTCTGGCCCAAAATTCTAAATTGAAAGTAATCGAGAGGAGTTATTTTCACAGGTCGAGCTTCATCATTCAAACCATTGATTCCATACGGAAATAAGAAAAACCAAGAAAACTCTTCAGCTTTACGTTCGTGAGCTTCATTAACAATGTTATCTTTTGTTTTTTCTGGTAATCTTATTCAAGTCAGTTGATATGTCTAACTCTTCCTCTTCGACTGGTTGGATGGTATAAGTCGGAGCCATTAAAGAAGTTTGGACAGAAATATTCTCTAAATGATCACTGAATCCTGAAACTGTGTTAGGTTTAACGCCTTCTTTATTTGAGCACTTGTTAGAATTTTGATCAACTACAGGCTGTGTGGTGGTACTTGAATCAAGTCCGGCTGCTTCGTTCATTGAAGCGTTTACATTATTTGCAGCTGAGTCGTTTGTAACAATATTTGGCTTTTGGCTCTTGTGCTACCTGAACTAAAGAGTGAGCTTCGCTATGCGGTGACAATATATCATTGATTACAGTAACGGTAACGTAATTTAACGTAAATTGTGTATTTCTTGTTCCTGTGGTACGTCTGCAAACTCGAATAAGTTCGTCAAGAGTATCGCATTGTATTACACAGGCTCTTCCATTGTCCCGCGAAGCACTTGCGCCTTTAGGGCCACATGAATGGGAGTTGGTGAAATAATATTTGTTGGCAATATTCATAACTCCAAATGTATAAGAACCAGTAATTAATGCACCTGCTGTATACTTCGAAAACATGTTATTTAAAGCGTTTCGTAGCGTCATACCTACACCATCTACATTAGCAGAGTCTTGTAAACTACCATAAAAGTTTGTGTCTTCATCATATTGAATTGAGAAATGTCGGTCGTACATTGGTTTGGCCTTCAATACGCCTCGTATCATTCAATTTTGGCGGAACGATGCGTATCAAATCCTGTTCCTGAAGTTGAACACCTGGATCCACAACTACGTCTTTATACAGCGGATTGTTAGTAAACAACCATTGCAATGCCTCGTAAACCCTAGTTCGCGACACTGAAAATTCGCGTGTAATATTGAGATTTTGCAAATGTTCGGAAACTACAATCATACCAATACTATCGGTAGATCGAGGAAGCATATTGAAATTTTTCCGTGCCTTCAGATATATCTTGCGCGAAGAGTACTGCTTGGCCTCGGAAACCGTATTGACCAAATGTTCCATCAAACTTAACCACTTTTGTGAACGGAATAATTCTCGATAACAAACGCTCTTCAGGTTGAGTAAGCTGATTAATAACTTCTGGAATGATACCTGGATCTAAGTTATTCCAGTATGCTTTGGAGGGTGGCGTGTTGTTATTACTAGTAACGTGTTTATTGCAGCGATGACATAAAAGCAAAGTTGTTTTACATGCTAACTCCTGAGGCAAATATGCAGTTTTAATGATGTCGACCTTGTAATTTGTTACTTGATTGGGATAGCAGCTTTTTGTACAAATCATGCATATTCGATCACAAAATGTGTTTATAGTTTTTTGAAATGTTTCGATGTTGGCTCTATCAGCTCTTCGAGATTGTGAACTATATACTCTCATATTTTGAGTTCGGGCAACGCGTTCAGCGGGAGTTTCGGCAGCTCTTACTTGACTCGCATGTGAGCGCATACTCTCAAGATGTGTATCACGTTGTTCGGTATTTTCTAGTGCATGTACCTGAGTCGCGTGTAACCGCATATTCTCAAGTCGTATATCGCGTTGTTCAGGTCTCTCTGCTGCTCGCACCTGAGTCGCGTGTAACCGCATATTCTCAAGTCATATATCGCGTTGTTCAGGTCTCTCTGCTGCTCGCACCTGATTCGCGTGTAACCGCATATTCTCAAGTCGTATTTCGCGTTTTTCAGCTCTCTCTGCTGCTCGCAACTGAGTTGCCTGTGACCGCTTCAGATCCAGACGTATATTGCGTCTCTTTGGATCTTCTGCTACTCGCACCTGAGTCGCGTGAAGTCGCATAGAATTTAAATGAATATCGCGTTCTTCCGAATTTTGTGCGACTCTAATCTGAGTTGCGTGCAGCCGCATATTATTTAAACGAATTTCGCGTTGTTCAAAAGTTTCTGCATTTTTCATCATAACTGTGATTTTTTAATTTTTCCAATCGAGCATTCCGTTTCGTTTCATTTTCTGTTGCTCTTATATGCTTCATATATTCGCTTTGTTTTTCAAGTCTTTTTCGTTTAGCCTTATCAGTTTCACTAACTAGTTTGTCTTTATATTTTACCTTGGCTTTTTCTAATCGTCTTTTTTTCTGAGTAGCTGTAGGACTTAATTACAACAGGGTTCGTCCCAGTTCCCTGAGGTGGTACGTTCGAGACATCGCATTTTTTGACACCCCAATGCCATTCAGTCCTCAGCACGGCCTCACCTTGACTTGGGTGTATTGAGATCAGAAGAAATGCCGCTCATTTCAGGTTGGATCTTACTTGCGCCTAACGGAAATATCCGGGTTTAATTTTGGAGGTTTCCTTCTCCTAGACAGGTTGCATTAACAGTGCTAGCGACGCCCATCTCACCGAATTTTAATATAGAAAAACACTGTGTGATCGTTCCCTAAAACTGTTCGTTATTATTATGATCATTATACGCAAGGATTAATTAATTTTGGTCGAGATCGAACAAACTAAAGCCTTACCTCTTCTACGCCCCTCCCCTTTTTAGTGGGAGAGCATGTGAATTTTGAAATCAATCAGATACCTACGTGGAAGTCAGTTGAAAGTAATCAGAAAAACTCGTCATTAAATCGTCCATTTTGAATCCGCCATATTGAATTTTTGTAATCTGATCAAAAATTCGTAATCCTCATCCTCAAAAACCCCCAGATACCAATTTTGGTGGAAATCCGACAAACTAAAATTTTACCCCCTCTCCGCCCTCCACGTTAGGGGGGAGGTAGGCAGTCAGTGATAACACATTATTGGATTGTCATCGGAACTATAACGGTATGCGAAATTTGAAGTCAATCGGATACGTGGAAGTCAGTTGAAAGTAATCAGAAAAACTTGACATTAAATCGTCCATTTTGAATCCGCCATATTGAATTTTTATAATCTGATCAAAAATTCGTAATTCTCATCCTCAAAAACCCCCAGATACCGATTTTGGTTGAAATCGGACAAACTGAAGTTTTACCCCCTCTCCACCCCCCCACGTTAGGGGGGAGGTAGGTACCCGATGAAACCATATTATTGTATTGTCATCGGAACTAAGACGCTATGCGAAATTTGAAGTCAATCGGATGTTTGGAAGTTCTTCAAAAATGAGTTGCAAGATTTGATTACATACATACATACCCACAATACATACATACATACATACAGGTGAAGTTAAATAAAAGCTTGTAAAAAGCAACTTAATTTAACAATATCTCAAAATGTCAGAGCTTTCCTAAAATTCACTCAGCCTTTAGTCAGATTAACTCTATCGTTGAATTCTTTCTACTATCAGGGGCCTAAAAATTTCAACTTTATCAGGGTTCCAGCCTCTTTAAAACAAGATAGGGATGTGAAAAAATTTATTAGATGTAGCATAAAAAATAAATAATGCTTTTTATTGTTTTTATTTGATTTGTTATACTTCTGACACATTTTGTGTAGGAGCTTCATGTTAACTGGATATCATTCTTAGGTATATTATAAATCTACTGAACTGTACTAGAAATTAAGTCAAGTAATGTATCTTGAATTCTGCACACGGCATCTGTATGCCTTGCAGAACCACATCAATGTAATGGGTTATATGTAATAAATTATGGAATCCAATTTTTGTAATTTTGAATTTATATTCATTAAATAATAAATAAATTAAGGTTAGGACTAAGGGATTAAGGTATTAAAATTGCGAAACTGTTTTAGAAAATTATGCTTCACATCTTTATAACATAAGTAATTATAAAATTGAAACATTTGGCAAACCTTACCCCATTGTAAATCAACATTTAAATAAATAAATTTTAAAAAAAAGTACCTATAGAAAGAAATGTGATTCTTTTATTTCAACATCACAGGTATGGTTGGAAATAAACCTAACTTGTAACGTAGAGTTTCGTTCAATTTATTCCTAATAGCAAATATATTCGAGACTTCAACTTACCAGAAATAACAACTTCTTCTCCTGGAGATGGACTTGCTAAAATCTTGCCAAACCTAATTGAGTCTTCAATGAAGACGGTCTCATTCCTTGCTGCCATTCTGAAAACTTTCCTAAATGTAAGTAACGTAAACTGTCAGTGAGTTATATTAAAATACAACTAATAATCTGTCTTGTCAGTATTGCGCTATGACACTGTTAGCCGCTATTCGACTAGAATTGAGAACATCTTATAATAGTGCATGTATATTACCTTTAAATGCATGTAATCTTAGGTCAAACATTTTTGAATTTTAAATTATTATAGTTCTGCACGCGAAAAAATTATTTACTATAATACGAATTTTTTATTCGAGATTGGATTATACAGGGTTTCTATGGATAGTGACTTTTGAAAAATATTTGCTTAGTTGAAATAAATCGTGATATTTGAAAAATTATTGTATTTCGTTCTGGAGTTACTGAAAATGGGGAAGCAAAAACATAATCAAACAAAAATAAAAGAATGAGAAGAACCGCAAATCGGTTCTCAGCACATTGGGTAGTGTGAATAAAAATTCAGTAAAAGCTTTATCTTGCATTTCCTAAGCAAATATATACTTACTTTGCAGTGAATAAAAATGAGTATTAGCTTTAACTAAAAATTCAAATTAGTAAAAGCTATAGTTTCTAACATTGTCTTTAAATGGTGTGAATAAAAGTAAGCAATTCCTAATTATATGAAGGAAAAGCTTACATTTTTGCAAGCTTGGTAAACCTTGGCTTCAACATTTTAGTGGTGTTTGAAAGTTTGGCAGAAATGGCAGCGTTTATGAATAAGGTCTGCGAAATTTTATCCCGAAAGAAAAGAAAGTCGTGCCGAAGAATACCACAGTCTGTCAATTTGAGGTTGGCTCAAGATTTACCACGAACCTCCTCCTCTAACAAATTCTTTATAGAATTGTCTGAATCACTATTCATTTCCACCTTGAAGCGCTGCCGTTCGATAGCGTTACTTGTTTAAAAGAGATACGTTCACCAGCACTTAACTGTTGCCAACTGTTGAGTAGTTAGGGAAACACGCTTAGAGAAATCGGCAGCAGCTGACAAAAAGCGGTTTTTACTGAGCGCCGCTGAACGCTATTGTTTTTCCCAACTACTTAACTGTTGACATCATGGAGTCATCTTTTCAACTAACCTTTTTTCAAATACAACCTCAAAATAAAAAAGTCGTTCAAGATCATCAGACAATCAAATTAAAAATGAAACGAGCCTTGAGCCTTCAGATACACTGCCTCATATTAGACAAAAAAAATTATGTCGTGAAGAAAATTATTCAGGGGCACAAGCCTACATGAAGACAGACAGATCCGAGAACTTAAGTTGAAATTCCTCAGGAACAAATACCAACCCGAGGGCGAATCTGAAGTAAATAACTCAATAATGAGGAATAGATCAATCTAGACTAGACTAGAGGCACGTAGGTGCGATTGAAAGTTGTGTATTGGGAAGTGTTCATCGTAAGTTGAACTCAGTTCAGTTTTTGGTCCGATAAGCAACTCCAGTCACGCCTTGCGAGAAAAGTTAGTTTTCTGGCAGACTAACGTTAAAAGTTAGTATATTTTTTAGTTATCTGATATCCAAAGTCGCGTTGAGGCCTATTATACTCCTACGCCATGTTGAAAGTGTATTCTGTTTGGAAACGTGGTCCCGGCCGCATGGAGGTAAGTAACACCCTGTTTAGCATTCGGCAATCCGTTCGACAACGGTTCGGTTTTTTAAATGTAACACCCGTGGTTGCATGGATCTGCGCTTTATTGGGTGTTACTTACCCTCGTTATTAAGCCTGTTTACTATTACCATCTTGTAAATAATTATTTTATGGCATTGAAATATTAAAACATGAGTATATAAGTGCAAAATATAATTAATAGTGTTATATCAATATAAATTATACTGTGCGTTCGTAATTTAGCAGATAAAAACAATTAAAGAGTGAATATTTCTCGGAAAACCTCAAACACTAATTTCAATTTAGGGGAACATCTTTTTCACTATTTGTAATTTGTATAGTTGTAGAACATCGAAAAATCCAAAAAGAAGGCCACGCTTCACATTACCTATTTTGTTTGTTTTTTTTTTTGTAAAATAACAAGGAATTTAATGATATATAGGGTGGGCTCAAAAAAACCGGAATTTTGTTTGAAAGTTTTTTCAGGTAATGACCAACGTGCAAATCAGGGACAAGAGTCCCTGTTTGGAAATCGACCCACTGAGTAGTGGACCCCGCATTCCCGTGCCAATCCTTGACGCGTTTCGTCCTTGTTAGGACTCATCAGAAGGACATAGGCTGAAGCTCCCTGTTCAAGCAAATTGAACTTCGTTGACCAATCAGAAACAACTACTCCGAGGGCAAATACCCCTACCGGCATTGAACTACACTGATTGATCTGAGCTTTCGTTGGCAATGAAAATTGTTTGAAAGTTTTTTCAGGTAATGACCAACGTGCAAATCAGGGACAAGAGTCCCTGTTTGGAAATCGACCCACTGAGTAGTGGACCCCGCATTCCCGTGCCAATCCTTGACGCGTTTCGTCCTTGTTAGGACTCATCAGAAGGACATAGGCTGAAGCTCCCTGTTCAAGCAAATTGAACTTCGTTGACCAATCAGAAACAACTACTCCGAGGGCAAATACCCCTACCGGCATTGAACTACACTGATTGGTCTGAGCTTTCGTTGGCAATGAAAATTGTTTGAAAGTTTTTTCAGGTAATGACCAACGTGCAAATCAGGGACAAGAGTCCCTGTTTGGAAATCGACCCACTGAGTAGTGGACCCCCTTGAACAGGGAGCTTCAGCCTATGTCCTTCTGATGAGTCCTAACAAGGACGAAACGCGTCAAGGATTGGCATGGGAATGTGGGGTCCACTACTCAGTGGGTCGATTTCCAAACAGGGACTCTTGTCCCTGATTTGCACGTTGGTCATTACCTGAAAAAACTTTCAAACAATTTTCATTGCCAACGAAAGCTCAGACCAATCAGTGTAGTTCAATGCCGGTAGGGGTATTTGCCCTCGGAGTAGTTGTTTCTGATTGGTCAACGAAGTTCAAACCGGAATTTTGTTTTTGAGTTGTAATTTTTTTTGTTTTTGTCCAATTTCCTATTGTTTTGGCCTGTTTGGAAGAGAATTGAACAGGCTGACAAATCAAAGTGAAACTTTCAAAATTTGGGAAAAATTCAAAATGACGGACTTCTTCAAAAGTTACCTAGTTTTGGATATGAAAAGGTGATATACGATATTACATAAAAATTAATATTTCACGTAGTTTTCAATCGAATTTTCCTGTCGAGGTCTTAAAATGTTCGCAAGATGATGAACTTTTAGAATTTATCAGAAAAAGTTATACAGGGAGTCACAAAAAAGTTCCAGCGCTATCCAAAGTTAGGTAATTTATGAAGAAGTCCGCCATTTTGAATTTTTCTCAAATGTCAAAAGTTTCACTTTGATTCGTTCGCCTGTTCATTTCTCTTTCAAACAAGCCAAAACAAAAGGAAATTGCTCAACAACTAAAAAAGTTCCGGCTCACAAACAAAATTCTTTTTTTTTTTTAGCCCACCCTATACAGTGAGTTCATAAAGTCACGCATAAATTCATTATTTTGAAAACGGTAGAATTTTTGAAAAATCGCTCAGACAAGGGTAATTCCATTAATTAGCCACCAACGAGTGCCCCTCATACCCTCAGTTTTTTTTTATTTTTTGACTGTGACTTGACAAAGACCTAAGAAGTCCAAAAATCAATACTTTTTTTTTCTTACTCCCCACCTTTTTCTTAAAGACCGTGCAAAATTTACCATGCAGAGTTAACTTTGAAAAATTGTAGTTCTTCTCCTTATCAAGTGATCGTTATCAAGCAAACTCTTAATTGTTAACAAGTCTCTTTTAACCAATGTGAAAAAATTTATTAGATATCGATACCGTTACGGGTCTCCGCCAATTATTTTAAAAATTCAATTTTTTTTGTAAATAACGTAACTTTATACATTCATATATTCTTAGGGCTACTGCCAAACAAATTTTTTTTAATGTATTTTGTTAACCAAGATCTTACTCTATATAAACGCAATAAAGCATTTCAAAATAATATCGGCTCACTGTTAAAAAATAGCTATTTATACAATAAGTTACGAAATGAGCGTCTTTTAGGCACGCGACGTGAAAATTGTCCAACGAGGCAAAGCCGAGTTGGACAACACGTCGAGTGACTAAAAGACACCGTTTCGTAACGTATTGTATACAAGATTTTTTCTACTGGCATTTTATAATAAAAAAACACAATTTTATTTCATGTGAATAAGTCGATTACACCCAAAATCTTTGTTACCTGCTTTTACTTGACACCTGACACTTTTCATGCGATTTTCTTTTCAAAATTCGACATCAATAATTAAAATCCTAGAAAGTAGGTAATAACACAAAGTTCTGTTTTGAGTAACCCAAACGTTCAATTCAGTAATTCCATTTTCAATATTCATAATAAATACAAAACAAAATTCAAATATGTGTTTAGTGTGTTTTTTATTTCTGAATAATGAATGACACTTTTAGGCACTAGTGCTTAAAAATTACTTTTACGCACTCATAAGTCACTTTTACGCATTCAAAAGTCACTTTTACGCACTGAGTGCCTAAAAGTAACTTTCACGCACTCAGTGCCTAAAAGAATGTCGTTTCAAAACTGAAATGACAATCGAAAAGTTGCTATTATGAAACGTCAGTAGAAAAAAATTATTTTGAAATTCAAGTTTCTCAAAATATACTCTTTTTAGCCATTTCAGGAGTCAAGAAGGCCATGTTTGA